AGATATAGAGATAGACAGAAAAAACGACAGAAGGACAGACAGATATAGAGACAGACAGACAGAAAGAACGACAGACAGACAGATATAGAGATAGACAGGCGGACAGACAAACGAACAGAAAGACGGACGGACAAACAGAAGGACGGACAGATATAGAGACAGACAGAAAGAAAGAACGACAGACAGATATAGAGACAGACAGACAGAACGACAGATATAGAGACAGACAGGCGGACAGAAAGAACGACAGATGGACAGACAGATATAGAGACAGACAGACAGAACGACAGATATAGAGACAGACAGGCGGACAGAAAGAACGACAGATGGACAGACAGATATAGAGACAGACAGACAGAACGACAGATATAGAGACAGACAGGCGGACAGAAAGAACGACAGATGGACAGACAGATATAGAGACAGACAGACAGAACGACAGATATAGAGACAGACAGGCGGACAGAAAGAACGACAGATGGACAGACAGATATAGAGACAGACAGAAAGAACGACAGACAGATATAGAGATAGACAGACAGACAGACAAAGAACGACAGACAGATATAGAGACAGAGACAGATATAGAGACAGACAGACAAAGAACGACAGACACAGAGACAGACAGACACACAGACAGAAATAACAACAGACGGACAGAACGACAGAGGGACGGAGAGATATAGAGACAGACAGAAAGAAAGAACGACAGAGATATAGAGACAGACAGACAGAAAGAAAGAATGACAGACAGATATAGAGACAGACAGAAAAAACGACAGAAGGACAGACAGATATAGAGACAGACAGACAGAAAGAACGACAGACAGACAGATATAGAGATAGACAGGCGGACAGACAAACGAACAGAAAGACGGACGGACAAACAGAAGGACAGACAGATATAGAGACAGACAGACAGAAGGACAGACAGACATACAGATATAGAGATAGACAGGCGGACAGAACGACAGACAAACAAACAGAAAGACGGACGGATGGGGAGGTGGACAGACAGAATGACAGACAGAGTAACAGACACAAAGATGGACAGACAGAACAAAAAAAACAGACAGATAGACACACACACACACACAGAGACAGACACAAAGCATTAGATCTTTCATTCTGATCTAATAATTAAATAAAAATAAAGTAAAATTAAAATGCAGAAATTATTTTCAAATAAAACAAACACCGAAAAGATTTTTAAAATATGAAAGAAAAAAAAACACTTTGATCTGCATGTCATGTGACCATTAACCGGCATCAGAGAACCGTGAACATGCAAATGTGTTATTAAATTATGAAAAAATTAAATTACAATCTCAAAACCTTAAAGTAAAATTCTTAGTACATGTTTCGGCTGATATAAACACTGTTAGCGCTGGTTTACCCGGCTGTTCCCGTGCAGGTTGTTGTAGATGATGCGGAAGCGTTTGCGTGTGTAGTTGCACCTGTACGTTCCTCCCATCAGATACTCGATCACCAGCCCCACGTCGATCAGCGTGATCTTATAGTTGGGCGGGAGGTTACCCTAGCAAAAAACACAAGGGAATAAAACTCAAGACGTACTGCAGTCTGGCGTCAGACACGCGCGTGCATCAGCTGAACAGCTTTACCTGTTTGACGTCCCTCACCAGGTGATAGAGCGTCGGATTGGTCGGAGTTTGTTTCTGTGAGAATAGTAATGTTCAGATTTATGTCCAGTTTATGCTCAGTGTTTGAGAAGCAGCGTGTGTGTGTGTGTGTGTGTGTGTGTGTGTGTAAGAGAGAGAGAGAGAGAGAGAGAGA